ATAATTGGGTTAAATAAATTATTAAAATTAACATCACCTGTTTCTTTTTACCACTAGAAAAAATTTTAATAACATATGTGGCTCGTATTTTTGTTTCTATTGGACAGCACTGGTGTATAACCTCTCAGGATAACCGTCTTAAACTAGAAGTTCCCGGAAGCCAGTCCCTTGAAAATTCTGCGGTGATGACTGAGCCTTGCACCGGCCCTCCCAATCCCAGTTTTAACTCCAGCTCTGAGATCCGTGAGTAGCTTAACTTTTCTGAGCCTGGTGGGGATAGGATGGGGGTTCATGCTTCCAACGTGAACAGTAAACGTTCCCAGGCAATACCGGCAGCCCCGTAAGGGCCGGCTCACCCGGTAGCTCGCGAAGGCCTCGTCGACGGGGGCCATGGTGTGGGCCTGGTGCTCCTGGGACTCCCTGCACACCAAGCACACGAGCCGCTGATCGTCCTCGCAGAAGAGCCGCAGCGGCTCCCAATGGCGGCCGCATAGGCCGTGGGGCGCGGGTCCCAGGCGCCGGCGCCGCATCCTCTCCGTCAGCCTGGCCAGGGCCCAGTTGGGCCGCATCGCAGCGGGCGCCGACGGCTGCCGGCACTCGGGGCAGGGAACCGGGCTGCCGCTCTGCGCCCAGCTGCGGCGCAGGCAGCCGCGGCAGAAGTTGTGGCCGCACTCGATGGACACCGGGTCCTCGAAATAGTCCAGGCAGATGGAGCAGGTCAGCTCCTCCTGGAAGTCCTCGGCCTCCATGCTGCTCCTCGGCCCCAGAGCCGGAGTCGTGGGTGGTTGGGAGGTCTGCAGGCTGCGGGTGGTGGCCTTTGGACCCGCGGCCACCGCCTCCAGCGGGAGGGAAAAGTGCAGCCTCTTCCGGGGTTCGGCACCCAGCGGAGCCGCGCAACCGCCGGGCGGCGGCCCTTTCCCACGCGTACTGAGGCCGCCAACCCCGCGAACCTCCGGGTTTCCTCGCGAGGGCTGCGCGCTAGGCGTGACGGGACTGCGGGCTGCAACTGGACGAACAGTAGAGATGCGGAAGTCCCCCAAGAAGCCTAGAGAGGCCTCGAGGAGCCCGTAGTTCGGGGGACGCGCCGGAATGCGACGACTGCGCAGCTGCAGCAGCTGCTGGTGAAACAAAACGGTCAGGGGCTCACTAACTTCGTCTGGCCTTCAGGTTTGCGGGGTGAGGTCAATGTTCGCCGTCCGCTCCGGAAGATTTAGGCTCTGGAGTCCTAGGCGAGCTGCTGCCCAGAAGGGCGTTCCAGGCGGGCAGCAGCCTAGCGCCAGAAGGGCCAGAAGAACGAGGCGCATCTGTGCAGCCGGGCCTGGAGTGCGGTTAAGGAGGCGCTGTGCCCCATAGGCTGGCTCTTCTGGAAGTCTCTCCTTTTTCTTTCAGCCTCATTCTCCAGGAGAGGAAGCCGTTCTTGTCCTCCAACCCCAAGGTCCAGTTGAGTTTCTAGAAAGGCAGGATTTCTGGCTCCCCACACGAAGCCCACCAACTCGAAGCCCACAAGCTCTCCTGGAGTTCGAGGATTCAGGCGAACTGGAGAGCCAGTTTTCTACGAGGCGACCAGGGAAGGGAGTGTTTAGCCCCACGACCTAGTGGGGAGCTGTCTGATCACTCTGCACTCTGATTTCCCTCTCTTTCTTCCCCAGCACAAGAGACACACCAGGTAGAGGAAGCCCATTCTTAGAGCAGGGGCCTCACTCACCCAGTGCAGATAGAGGGTCTAATAATTAAGTTAGGGGAAAGAATCTAGGGTTAGATGGTCTTCCCCAGGTTTGAGACTTCCCACCAGTATTTTAGGTGATTCAGTGCGGAGGAGGACTGTGGGCTAAAGGATGCTCTAAGCCAGCTCTGGGTGATCTGCTATGAGCGGCTGTCATCCTATATGCTGGGAAGGAGCAGATCCTGTAGCTGCTGGTGCTGGAGCAGTTCCTGACCGTCCTACCTGAGAAGGTCAACACCAGGGTGTGAGAGCAGTACCTGGAGGGTGGAGTTGAAGCTGTAGTTGTTCTGAGGACATTGTGAATAAACAGATAGGACCGGGAGAGTGGTGGGAAGGAAATCAGGTGTTTTAAGTTAAGATTCAGAAGCACAGATGCATTGCTTTTTGGTACCCAACTTGAAGACGGCAACCGTTTTGCTATCCCAAGGCACATCCATTGAGGTTTTCAACAAGCAGTGTGCTTGCCTGTTTCAGGGAATTATCTGTTCCTCGTCAATGGATTTTTGAGCTTGTGTTTCTGAGGTGCTTGGTTTTTTATTCTTCCCTCTATTCCTTTTCTTATGAAAGAAATTTTTAATTCTTCCTGGGTCCCAAAATCAGATACCACCTTTCCTGTAATATGCTCTGTAAGTGGTCACTGAATGTATGATTAAATGATTTGGAAAGGGGGTTCCTGAGATCACTATTTTGGGGTTTTGGTGAAAGTTCCACAGAATGTCTTTAAATGTTTACAACAGATAGCTGCGTTTTCCTTGTACATCGGAATACTATCTTGAGAAGGAATCTGAGGGCATTCCCTGGCAGTCCAGTGGTTAGGACTCCGTGCTACCACTGCAGGGGACCCGGGTTCGATCCCTGGTCCCTGGTTGGGGGAACTAAGATCCCACGTCTCGCAAGTCACACGGTGCTGCCAAAAGAGAAAAAAAAAAAAAAAAGAGAGAGAGAGAGAAGGAATCTGAGTCTTAAATATGGACCAAGCAGAATGAGGTGCTCTTATCAGTTACTGATGTTTGCCATGAGTATCTGGGTGTGAGTGTCTATGTATCTGTATGTCTGCCTTTGTATTGAACTATATCTCCTTAATGTCTTTGTGTCTTCAATCCTGCCATACTCCTGAAATGAACATCCTTCTTTACTGAAAATATTGAGGCTCCCTGACTTACAATTTTATTCATATGGAATTCCAGGGGATCCCAATTGGCCAAACAATCTTGAAAAAGAAGAACAAACTAGGGGTACTCACACTTCCCAATTTCAAACGTTATTACAAAGCTGCAGTAATCAAAACATGGTACTGCTATAAGGATAGACACGTAGATCAATGGAATCGAATTGAGAGTACAAAAACAATGCCATACATCTACAAGCAATTGATTTTCAACAGTGGTGCCAAAACCATTATATGTAGGGAAAATAGGCCTTTCAACAAATGGTGCTGGGACAACTGGATATCTCCATGCAAAAGAATGAAGTTGGACCCTTATCTCATACCATATACAAAAATTAATTCAAAATCAAAGACCCAAATGTAAAGCTAAAACTAAAATTTTTAGAAGGAAACATAGGTCTAATCTTCATAGTCATGGATTAGGCAATGGTTTCTTAACTATAACACCAAAATCATAAGCAACAAAAGAAAAAATTGATAAACTGGATTTCATCAAAATTAAAACCTTTTGTGCATCAAAGGACACTCAATAAAGTGAAAGACCACCCACTGAATGGGAGAAAATATTTGGAATATCAGATCCTTAAGTCTGATAAGGATCTAGTATCCAGAATATATGAAGAACTCAACAATAAAAATACAAACAGCCCAATTTTAAAATGGACAAAGATTTGAGTAGACATTTCCCCAGAGAAGCTCTACAAATGGCCAATAAGCTCATGAAAAGATGCTCAACATCATTAGTCATTAGGGAAATGCAAATCAGAACCACAATGAAATATCACTTCACCCACTAGGATGGCTAGAATTTAAAAATCAAACAAACAGAGAAAAATAAAAACAAAATACTAAGTGTTGGCAAGGATGCAGATTAAATTGGAATCCATTTGTACATTGCTGCTGGGAATGTGAAATAGTAAATAGTACAGCTGCTGTGGGAAAAAGGTTGGCAGTTCCTCAAAAATTTAAAGTGTTACCATATGCCCCAGCAATTTCACTCCTAGCTATTTACCCAAGAGAACTGAAAACATAAACAGAAACTAGTACATGAATGTTCGTAGCACCATTACTCAGAATAGCCCAAAAGTGGAAACAATCCAAATGTCCAGCTGAAAAATGAGTAAATAAAATGTGGTATAGCCATACAATGAAATAATAATCATAAAAGGAATGAGGTACTGATACATGCTACAACATGGATGAACCTTGATAACATGATGCTAAGTGAAAGAAGCCAGTCACAAAAGACCACATACTGTATGATTCCATTTGTATGAAAAGCCCAACCTAGGAAAATCTGTAGAGACAGAAAGTAGGTTAGTGGTTGCTTATGTTTGGGGGCGTGGGGATTTGCGGGTAACAGCTAAGCACTATAGGGTTTCTTTTTGAATTGTTGAAAATTTTCTAAAATTGTGTCAATGGATACACAACTCTGACTATACTAAAAGCCATTGAGGGCTTCCCAGGTGGTGCAGTGGTTAAGAATCCGCCTGCCAGTGGAAGGGACACGGGTTCGAGCCCTGGCCCGGGAAGATCCCACATGCCATGGAGCAACTAAGCCCGTGTGCCACAACTACAGAGCCTGCGCTCTAGAGCCTGCATGCCACAACTACTGAAGCCCGCGCGCCTAGAGCCCATGCTCCACAACAAGAGACACTGCAATGAGAAGTCGGCACACAACGAAGAGTACCCCCTGCTCGCCACAACTAGAAAGTCCACGCACAGCAACAAAGACCCAGTGCAGCCATAAATAAATAAATTTATTAAAAGCCATTGAATTATATACTTTTAATGGGTGAATTATAGGGTGTGTGAACCATATGTCAATAAAGCTATTTTAGGGACTTCCCTGGTGGGGCAGTAGTTAAGAATCCTCCTGCCAATGCAGGGGACACGGGTTCGAGCCCTGGTCTGGGAAGATCTCACATGCCACGGAGCAACTAAGCCCGTGCGCCACAACTACTGAAGCCCGCGTGCCTAGAGCCCATGCTCCGCAACAAGAGAAGCCACCGCAATGAGAAGCCTGCGCACCACAGCAAAGAGTAGACCCCGCTCGCAGCAACTAAAGAAAGGCTGCGCACAGCAACAAAGACCCAACGCAGCTATAAATAAATAAATTTATTTAAAATAAATTAATTAAGAAATAAAGCTATTTTAAAAGGAACACCATCAAGGAGGAATTCAGAATGATGACATTTGCTTTTTTTCTGTCCTTGGTCACTTGGCTGGGCTCTGGCTATGCTAGATACAGGATTCTTTATGAAACACTGTAGCAGAAAGAAAACTGTTACTTTGGTAGTTGTTGCCAAAGTGTCTTTAGGGAATCAAGTATCTTTCCTTAGGAATGAGCCTTCCTAATTTACTTGGGGATCATCTGAGATTCAGAGGAGACAACCAAACCTGGAAACTGCTCTTTGTTGAGAATTTGAGGGCAAGGAAGAACTGAGAAGGGAAGTGTTTCTGCAGAAAAGGTGGGAGGCTGGGATGCTTTTGGACAGAAATGACTGAGAGACACAAGAAAAGAGAAGCCTGATATTCAGCATTAGATCATCTGCTGAATCACACTGTGATGTAAATGTCCCTTACTGTTAGCCCTGAATCAGCAATAAAACTCTGCTGTCTTTTCTGTGTGATACTGAGAAGTATGAGTTTAAAAAGTAACGACTTGGCCCCTCCCCCCCATATGAAACAATGGAGCAGCTGCAACGTACAAGGCAGAGAATGAGGACTGAGCAGAAATCAGATCTGTCAGTGGTCCAGGGTATGTAAGCCTCTGAATTCACAGGAATCTTCCAGAAGAGTGTGGCTGAGTGTTTGAATACATTGAATCTATATATTAAAGGACCCTGGGTTACATATGCTTGGAAAGCCAGAGTTTCTGAATATGACATATATTGCAGGGCCCAGTGCATTTATAGGTTACAAGATTTTAAACGTGGGGGGAGCACAGATGTGGACAGCAGGAAAGAGGAGTAGACTCATTGAGACAGGAAAGAGGATTGTCCTCAGCAACAGGAATGCCAGCAACAGTGGTCAATATTTATTGCGCAGGACAGAGAGGCACGGTTTTACGGAGGTCTCTGCTGGCTGACTCTGGAACCAAGCCCATGAAAATTGTGATGCTGACACCAGGGAATTCTGGTGAGGAGGCACAAGCAGGAGATCTCCAAGGAAAAGCTTCAGACACCGTGGCCCCCCAAGGCTCTTGGATACGCTTCAACAGCCTTTAATTTACCATGGAGATAGACACCCCACTCACTGGATGTTCAGACAAAGATGCAGTCAGAGGGTTTCCTTCAGAGGTGAGCCAGGTGTCTTCATAATTCTGCAAAGTAGAGGATCAAGCAGAAGCTGAGCCTTTTCCTAAGTGGGAAGAGACCTAAATGGAAGGGCAGGAGGTACGATCAACTGAGCACTTGGGTCCTGGTTCATTGGAAGGAACCATCCAGTTGATGGGGATGCAGCTGGGCGATGGGGTGGGATGAGTGGTTAGGACACATCTGCGTAGAACCTGGTTTTCTACTTTGTAACTTGTGGGAGTTGTACTTCCCGGAGGGTGAGGGGCTTGCCGTGGGGGATCATCAGGACCCATACATCAGGGACAGGTAGAAAGAGGGACATCAGTGCCCCTCTCACCTGCTTCTGCAAACCGTTCTTTTGTTTCCACCACTGGGAAGTTATCAGTCGGTTCCTTGTGTCTTTGGGCGCTCTCTGAAGTTGGGAAGTACTTAGAAGAGGGAGATTTGTGCTTCCAGATCTTCCACCATCTCCCCAGGCCCAGGAGCACAAGCTCCAAAAGCGTGAACAAGAGACAGAGCCCAGTGACCCCAAACATGGTCTTCAGGAAGATGGTCTTCTCAGAGGGGCGAGACAGATTACAGCTTATACTACCAAGGCAAGGCTCTCGACGACACGCAAAGGAGCTGGGCATCTTGAACCCGTACAGATGGTACTGCCCCCCCAAGGCTGCCCCTTCAAGGGCCAGTCGCACCCCCAGCTGTGCCACATAGGCCCAGAGCACCCTGGGGCTTCCAGGCCCCAAGGCATCTCTGCTTTTCTCCCCTTGGCGAATCAGGGTCTCCTCTTCCTTCTTCACCTTTTCAGATTCCTCCCAGTGCCAGATCACATGATACAGAATGAAACCCATGTAGAGGGCACTGGGTACAGCCACCAGGGTGACCTGGAAGGCCCAGAAGCGCAGCGGGGAGAGAGGGTGGAAGGCATCGTAGCAGGCAGCCTTGCAGCCCAGCTGCTGCGTGTGACACACGAACTCGCTCTGCTCGTCGCCGTAGACCCCTGTCCCACTGGCGGCCAGCAGCATGAGGCGGAACCCCAGGAGCACGGGAAGCAGGAGGCGCCCCACGGGGGTGGAGTGCCGGCTCTCCTCCACCACCAGCCGCCTCAGGAACCTGCCGCACATCCTGTTAGGGAGCAGAGGACAGTGGTGAGTGTAGGTGTAATGCTCACTGTCTGGTGGGAGTAGTGCCAGGCCAGCTCTTCACCCCCAATCCAACGGTGGCTAAGGCAGGCTTCCTCGCTCCTCTCCTAGGACCTGGCTGATCGAATACCACGACCTGAGGGCACCCCTTTATAGTTAACGGAATCATCTGTGTAGAATATTAATAGTGAGTGAGTGTGGGTGTGACTTTCTCTCCTGTCCCCCCTCCTGTACTGCTGGAGGGGAGAGGAACTCTCGGCCTGCGGGGAGGCCAGGGTCAGTCTCTGTCTCTCTCTTTCCCTCCCTCCCGCTCCTGCTTCCCAGAGGCTAAATAGTCAGAGACCCGAGTCCTCTGAAGACCATTGCTTCCCTAGGTGATGGCTGCTAGGTCTGGTGCTACTGTCAGTGTCACCTGAACGAAATCAGTGCTGCCCCTGGGAGGGGTGTGCATTGCCTTCTCTGGCTTCAGGCCCCCAGGTGCTCACAGGTGTGTCAGTCTGGCCCCCATCACAGTGGTGAGACTGAGGTGAGGTTAGGTTAAGGGGCTCGGTGGGGATCCAGTGAACAGAGTGAATGTCAAGGCTTGCTCTAGACTGATGTTCTTCAGACCTAACCAGCTTAGGAAAGGAGAATACTTTGAAGAAAACCCAGCAGAATCTACTGGTTAAACGTAATGGTGTTTGGGCCAAAGCCAGAGGTGACTGGATCAAAATTCAAAATTCAACTCTGCTTTGTCATTGCTCCTTGGGTTTACATCTCCCTCGTGGTGAGAGGTGACCATGGTCGAGGACAGGCTTCAGAAATTCTTCTGTTCTCTGGACAAAATGCCATCATGCTACAAGCCCAGTTTGCCATCTTCTCTGTCCTCAGCAGCCCTCCTCAACGCTAAGCTTCTCTTCCTAACCCTTCCCCTTCAGCCCAAACTCTTACATACCTGGTTCCCCTCACTCTCAGAAGACCATGCAAAGCTCTTATTCCAGAGAAAACAGACTCGTTAGTGTGAAACCCTGAAGCTCCTCCTTCTCGTATCTTCACAGTCACGTCCTGCTGTAGCATCTCAGAGAAAGAAGTGTCTTTCCACTTGTGCAAGGCTGCCCTCCCTTTCAACTCTGTGTCCCTGGGGCACAACTTCCAGCTTCTTCAAGAATTTGACCCCCTAATTATCTTTTCTGTAATTCAGACCATCCTTGTTTCTGCTCTGACCTTGAACTTGCTTAGGTTTCTTCCTGTTAAGTCTAATAATAATAACCTGAATTTCTAAGTTAACATGGCAGCGAGACAGGCCTAATTTATCTCACGTCGGCTTCCCTGTTATAATACCCAGCGAGATGCACAAAACAATCTTAAATGAGTATTAGTGTTATAAACTATAGATAAGAATGGACCACATGCCAAAACTTAGGCAGAACGGTCACTTTTGTGCAATCAAAAGAGACGGATTGAGATGCTTCCAAGGAACAGTTCTAAGGGCCTCAGTTGACCAGAGAATTATGTCACCATCCACCAACTGTGAGAAACCATATTTGAGCCACTAAGAATCAGAGCCTGAACTTCTGCCTGCCCCTCAGTCCCTGTCTTTCTTCTTCCTTCATAGACTGTGAAAACTTAGAAGTCTATCAGGCTGCTGAAAATTCTTTTCTATAAAATTGGGTTAAAATTTTTAGAAGAAACTTATTTCCAGTCTCTAGAAAGATGCAGAATTGGTCCCCTGATTAAAGATGGCATATTGAAGATAAAGATTTATCCCTTCTCATCCCTAAGACTCCTCAAAAATGAGAGTCAGTGGATCTTTACATGTGTACACCCACTATAAATAGAGTAGAAGATCATCAGCTTGATCTTTGAAGGCAATAAGAGATTCTGGGGGAAATTAGATCAGGATGCTAGAAAGCACATTGGATAATTCTCCCAGAATTCCAAGGAAGAAGATGAATAATTGAAAATAATAAAAGATAGGGCTTCCCTGGTGGCGCAGTGGTTGAGGGTCCGCCTGCCGATGCAGGGGACGCGGGTTCGTGCCCTGGTCCGGGAGGATCCCGCGTGCTGCAGAGCAGCTGGGCTCGTGGGCCGTGGCCCCTGGGCCTGAGCGTCCGGAGCCTGTGCTCCGCAGCGGGAGAGGCCGCAGCAGTGAGAGGCCCGGGTACAGGGAAAAAAAAAAAAAAAAAAAAAGATAAATAGATAAGGAACAAAATCTGTTTCTAATTTGGAAATCAAGACAACAGTAAAACAAAGTCACTAGCTTACGTATTGGTGAGAAAGCACTTAGTGAAGTGTCTAGGAAAGAAGTGGTTTCTCCATAAATGTTTCAGTTTTGTTTGGTGAAAACTGAGCTCCACAGCAAGTTTCAAGGCTGGTCCTGGGTTTCTCAACCTTGGCACTGTTGATGCTTGGGGACTGATAATTTTTGTTTAGGTGTAGCAGGGGTGCTATCCCATGCTTTGTAAGATGTTTAGCAGCGTTCCTGGCCTCTATCCACTAGATGCCAGTAGCACACTTCTCCCCTCCCACCCACAACTGTCTCCAGATACTGCTAAGTGTCCCCTGGGGTCAAAATCACCCCTGGTTGAGAACCACTGCTTTAGGGTAGCACTGGTCCATCACCTCTCCACTCTTGGCTTCAGTTGCCAGCTCTGTAAAGCAAGATGTCTGCACCAGAGCATCTCAGAGGGCTTCTGTAGGGCATGATAATCAGCCCATTTCCAGGCTGGTTGTACCTCCTCCTGTGAGGATGCCTGCAGCCTCTCCCACCTCATAAGTTCAAAGGGTCCCAGCACTTGGGGTTGGGGGAGAGCCCTGGGCTCTGGGGGTTTCTGCCCTGGCCCTCTTGGCGAGTCACCAGACTAAATGTTAACTTGGTAAATTCTCAGGTCAAGCTCTCCGCCTCGTCTCATTTCCAAGTGCAGGCCCAGCACTGTCTGCACATGTTGCCAGCCCATCCCCAGCAGACCTGGAATTTAACACAGAGCAGCCCTGGCATATTCCAAGTGTCGGGAGTTTGAGTAGCTTCCTGAAGCCCTCTCTCTGGTTCTTCTTTCCCGTGCCCACCCCAGACCTGTAGCCAGACACCCAGATGTCCTCTGAGAGACTCTCAGAACTGAACTGAGGTCTCCAGGGCTCACCACAGAGCTTCGGGGATTCGGAAGGGAGAGAACAGAAAAAGCAGGACAAGAGGGCTTGCTTGAGATCTGTTGGTTTGGAGCACCCTTCCTGCCCTTTGCCCCGCGGCCGTTATAACCAAAACAATGCTCATTCAACACACATTCCAGGGCCTCCTGGAGGGTGCAGTAGCCTGCTCCATCTCCCCAAGGCTGCAGACCAAAGGGAGTTTCCTATAAACCGAAGCTCAAACACAGCTGTCCGTCCTCCCTCCTCCCCTGCTTTCCTGGGACCCAGTGGTCTCCCCATCTGTTCCAGCCGTCCCCAGCCCGCCCCTCTCGTTCTCGGAGACCTGCGTCCTCCTCCCACAAACACGTCTGCAGCTTTGCCCACAGGGGGCCAGAGACCCCAGGCCAAACGTCGAGACCTAGGGAGCTGAGGGATCAGCATTGTTGAGAAAATTCAAGGGACCACGGTTTCTCCAAGAAAAAGAAAGAGTTCGCAAACCAATTTATCCTGGAGGGGGCTGGCAGGATCTGAGCCCTGGCCAGATTTTAGAAGCAGTTCCTATGCGCTCAAGAGTTGGGAGAAGGAGGAAAACCCAGAGTTTGAGGGGATTTTCGAATACGTAAACAGATTTTTTAAAATTCCATAGCAATTTTGTTAAGAATTTTTCTAAGCATCTCTTGTTCTTTGGGAGAAAACTTTCAGGATACTATGGGCGGCAGAATCCACCTCAGAGAGTTAAGGCGTGAAGGAAGGTTGTCCACTGAGGCCAGCACTAGAGCAGCTCCCTGCTTCCAGCTCACCCCACCTGGTCTAGAAAACATTCTAGATCTTTTACTAAAGTGCGGTCCATGGTGCAGCAGCCCTGTCATCACCAGGGGTGCAGAACCTCAGGCCACATCCCAGGCTTAGCAAGTCAAGTCTGAATTTTAATAATAATCCCCAGGCCGTGGGCGTGTGCATTAGAGTTGCAGATGCACAGCCCAGAGCCCCAGGCGGTCCCCACCACCACTACCCCAGGCCCTGTGCCAGCCCAGCTTTGCTCTGCCCTGGCACTCACCTGGCAGCTTCAAGCAGAAGCACCAACAGCTGGCGAAAGAGGCAGAGGTAAGAGCCCTCAGGCTGGAGCCCGCAAGGTCCCAGCTCTCCCCGAGGCCCTGCCTCCAAGCCTCCACCCACTCCTTCCCCCTCCCCTCATCTTTCCTGGCTGCCTTAGCGCAGGGTCAAAGAATTGCAGCCAGAGGGGCAGGCAGCCCAGCTGCTAAAGAATGGGCTCTGGAGAATAACCCTCTGTTGTCAAGGGTGAGGGCTCTGTCTTCTAAGTGAACTGAAATGGGGATTTTCAGATCATCTGAAAGGGGGGCAAAGGCTTACGGCATGTTTTCAATATAGGGACTTGCAGGCAACAACAGATAGAATTCCATACATTTATCTCTGGACATCCTCTCTTCTTGGCTGGGAGAAACGGGCTCTCTGCAGCTCAGGGAGCCCAGCCCCTCTCCACCAGGCCCAGGGAAGATTGCAGCACCTGAGTTCCAGATACTGGCCCTGTGGAGATCTGGAGTATCATTCCACCATTTTCTAGCATTTCACATTGTTGTAGAGAAGTTCAAATCCACCTCAATAGTCTTCATCTTTTAAGTGATTTGATCTTTTTAACAGTTTGCCAAATGGATGATTTTTTACCTTTGAAGCCTGTTCACTCCTCCAGGGGATACTATTCAGCTAGATGTAGAAATCTCTCACTGGCTCTTTCCTGTTCACATCTGGTACACAGGAAACAGTGATGCATCCTTAGGGCCAAGAAACTCTGGGCATACAGGCCATTTCCAACACAGCCACATCTCCTTCCAGTCATCTGCTGGATATCCTATCTCCTGCCTTTTTGATTTATCAGTCGGGAATCAACACACTGGAGCCCCTCTCACTAGGCATGAGATACAGGAGGCAGCACCCTCACCGCCTTCCCTTGGGGAGAACTAATAGCACATCTCTTTCCAAGGCAGCTTCCCTCCAGAGTTAATCCTCTCTCCCTCTAATTTCCAACAGCTCTGCCATTTTATACAACTTAGACGTGGGTGTAGAGTTTGAGCGACATAACTTATTTATTTGGTTTTCCTTTGAAATATTGCATTTTAGACTAACAAATCAC